TACAGTAAAGAGTTTGCTGAGAGCTTTTTTGTTAAGTGAGAATGAAATTGTAAGTAAATAATGTTTTATCTCTTGTAAGAATGCTACAAAAATAGGTTTACAGTTCTAAAATGTACATTTATGAATATAACATCTACAAAAAGAAAATTAGGTTTATAATAAAGCAGGCATTTGAATCCGCTTCAAAGAAACCAAAAATAACAGATTTAGGATTCATTGAAAAACCTTGTAAGATAGTACTTGAAATAAAATAACTAACATCTTTCCAGAGCTGAAAAGTATAGTTGCACGACCAAAACAAATGAAGAAGTGTTTCAGTATCATTCTGACAAAAGGAGCATTTAGTGTCAAAATCTGATCCACATTTTTTCTTAAGAAAATGTTTGACAGGGTAAATATTATGGAGTTGTTTAAAAGTTATTTATTTTATTTTGTTAGTGAGAAAACGTCTTTGTTGCATGGACCATATATTTTTCCAATTTAAATTATCAAAAAGATTGTTCCAATATGGGACTGCAGAAGGGGCCGAGACAAATGTTCTCAAGGAATAAAGTTCTTATTTTATAATTTCTTCCTTTTTTCCCAGTGAAACATATTTCACCAATAGGCATGTTGATAGGTTCAGGAAAGGGAACTGTTCCTATAGATAGAGTATAATTTTTAAAAAGCATGCATATGCCAGATGGAATAGCATCCATAACAGTTGCAAAATCTTTAGGAGTTACAGGTATATTATATTCTAAAATAAATTCTGTATACCTAAAAAGCAGACCATCCTTGTTAAAGAGCTGACTAACATGAAATATTCCGTTACTGAACCACTGATTATTGAACAAAGATTTATTCTTAAATAAAATATTCCTATTGTTCCATATGTAACACCGGTGGGGAGAAAACACATTAAGACAATTTTTTTTTTACACCACCAAACTGTGAGAAGACAAGTTGAGGGAAAATATTCCAAACAGAGGTGGGATTTTTGAGGAAACGATTAAGCCAATTTATTTTAATTGTATTATTCAATGAGTTAAAATCAATCAAGTTTAAACCACCCTTAATGTGAGAATTTAATATTACTGTTTTTTTCAAATAATACAACCCTGGAGTTAAAGGGATCCTATTATGCTCTTTTGCAAAGTCTTGATTTTGTTTTGGGGGTGTACTAGAACATGATCTCATGCTTGGTGGTTCGAAAAACGCATTATTTTTCACATAATTTACATTATTAAAATACCTTTCTCCCCAGCCTGGCACAAACGGCTCGATTAGTTCCGGCTTTGATGAAGGTCCACCTTCCGAAAAACAAAATGTGTTGGTTAGCAAATTGGTTAGCTGTCCCAGTGCGTTGTGATTGGCGAACAGCTTATACAGTGTTTCAGTACTGCCATGCCCCTCCAAAACAAAGTCGTTTGGGCACGGAGGTGAAAAAAACAGCGTTTCAGGCGGTCGCACCGGATGAGAAGCGCAGCGTCGCGTCGCGCCACATCTTTACACTGACTAAAATTAAAAAAGTGAAAAAGCATAATAGGACCCCTTTACGCGGACTTCTCGCTTCAGCTGGATGCCAACCGCCGTTAAACTGGAAAGAAGAAGAAGAAGACTTCTCGCTTCTTTCTGACGTAACGCTCTACCGGAAGACGCTTTGTCGCGCCCGGAAGTCTTGTGTTTTTCACGTCCGGTACAGATTGTGATTGTTTGGTGTGTGGTGAAGCTTTAAGGTTTTTTTTTTTAAGTTTGACCGCGTTCGTTTTTTAATAAAACAGCAAACATGACTGAGGTAAATTGGGTCTTTTGTTTCAGATTGATAGTCTAGCCACATAGTTCCGTATTTGTGCATGAAAGCGGTGTGCTGTATATCTACATGTGTGGTCATCTGGATATGTGTGTCTCCAGCTTCTAATAGCTTATAAGTTGTTATTTTTGCCTGACTGATCCGGTGTTGTGTAATATTCGGTTCCCGTGAAAAACTGTTCCAATGGGCGGGGTTAGTACGAATATTCATAGATTCGTTCCGCGGTGGGCGTGGCCTTTTGAACTACAAACAAGCGAATGGAAAGGATTGTGTTGTCTGTTCTTCAGCTCTTGTGTGATGAATTATTTTGAAAAGGTAATAAAGCCGAATGTTCATACGCCCCGTTTAGATGTACAGCTGTTTATGTTATTCACATAGGCTAAAATGCTTATTGTTTCGCATGTGCTTTTATCAGAACGCTTTATCATGGCCATATGACAATGTTTTGCTGTGTAGCTTACGTGGATGATACTAAACACCAAACACAGCACGAATCGAACACATTTCTGTCGTTCCTCGTTGTTTTTGTCGTTTATTTTCAAGCTGTAAACTGTGTCCCTAGTTGCTGTGTATTTTGCTGCATCATAACTTTCACAACTTTTCATAACTTTCAGTGACTGCAATTAAACTCAAATGTCGTTAGATGCATGTTCAAATACAGATTTTTTTAATGTTATCTGGTGTTGTTTTGTTGCCTTTTTTTTTCCTTTTTTTTTTTTTTCAAAAGCCTTTTTAAAATTTAAAAAAAAAAAAAT